TACATTTCTGAACTAAAATTACCTATTAACAGAATTTTAGAGAATGGTATTCAATAGGGGGTGAATTTTAATAGCTATAGCTCTTCTTCGGACAATGCGGAACATTCTGCAAGAAATTGCGTTAAAATTGGTCAAGCCGTTCTCATATAATGCGATAACCAAGGAAAATAGGGATTTATTTATATCTATCTATCTATATATATATATATATATATATATATATATATATACTAGATGTTCTGCCCAGCGTTACCCGCGCCATTTTTTACCCATATTCGTTTTTGGTTTTGACCGTGTAAAGTGTAAAAGCAAAAGTGTATTTCCATATATTATCGATAAAAAATTTAGAATGATTGTGAAGCTGTCCTGCTCAGTGTTGCCCGTGCCATTTTTTATTATTTATTTTTAGCTAAATTATTTGGTGTATATATCTTACATTATAATTCTCTAGCTGTCCCGCCCAGTGTTGCCAATTTTTTATTGTTTTTTTCCTTTTTAGTTTTCGACCGTGTGAGTAATAAATAAAAAAAGTGGAAAGTGGGTAGTCCACCTTCGGCGGAATAAGTGTTCTATTATGACATTTTTTTCATGATTTTCATAAGAAAAATAAGGAAACTTCGATTTTTTTTTAAATGAGGAGGGTTAATAGATTTCAAAGGAAGTTAAGCATAATTTAATTTATTAGGAAGTGGAGACGTTCTACAACGGAAAAGTGCGTGTACCGTATTATAGCTACTTGTCGTTCGTAGACGGCACGGTGTTGATTTTCAACCTTCATATGAAAAAAATCAGGCATATCAGTCCGTCCGTTTTCAAGTTATGGCGTCGGCGAAAATATATCAATTAATTTATACATACCTATATAATATAAATGTGCGTATTTGCCGATGTATTTAAATTTATATTTAAAAAAATAATAACTTTATTGTATCACTCTCTTGGCGTCCTTTGATGAATCTTTATTTATTAATTTTCTATCAGGATGAACATTTCAATTTTGGGACAACTTACACGGAATATCTTACTGATTATTCATTTTTTTGTTTTTTAATTTCATCCATATCATCAAGGTAACCCATAAATCAAAAAAAAAAAAAATCGCTGTACTAAAAATACCAATTACTCTGTGTCAGCTACCCTTACAATGCCACCTATCGGGTCCAATTGTGAATCTAAACCATCCAAACACACACAAAAAATTTCGTCAAAATCAGTCCAGCCATTTAGGAGGAGTTCAGTGACATATACACGTACAGTAGAATTATATATATATGTATAATTAATTCTTACTTTATTTAATTAAGTATAAATTAAATAATAAAATGATTATTAGATATTGTTTCAGTAGTATTAGTAACTATATTTAATGAGTGTCTACAGTTTGAATCATTTTTTGATTATCCCACGAGTTTTCCTAATAAATGGGAAAAACATTAAAAACCGAGAAAATAGGTACAATATTAAACAAATATTATTAAATACAATTTTTAACGCATGCAATTGTCTTATCAAAATATGACAGGTATACAGAGCGATTCACTAAGCGACCGCATTCGCCGCATTTTTTTGGGTAAGTTATGCAAATATTCAAATTCTGATTTTTGAAATTTTTAAGTGTAGTTAAAGCCGATATTTTCGAATACTTAGATTTTTCATGAATTCCAAAAAATTAGAATTTGAATATACTCGTATGCAAAATTTAACCAAAAAAATGGGGTAGTAGTATTACACTGAGCACGCTTAGTGAATCACCCTAGATATTGTTGAAAAAGCAACACTATCAACCAAACTCCGCTCAGAATCGGTTTTTCGTAAGCAATAGTTTATCATTGCTTACAGATATGCATTAAATTCCTATATATATCCTACTTTCTCAACTTCCCACCTACAACAATAGTTGTACCCGTCCCCATTATTTTAGGACAGTTTTTTTATTATATTTATAATAATATACACTATCGTGGTGATATTATTCGACCGATTTTTAGCCGTTTGATTACATTGATTCGAATAAAACAGAATCTGCATTCTTACTCGTATCTAAGTAATCATAAGTTTTGCACGAGAAATTAAATAGAGATCACGATTTTTACATGTTCGAAACTGAAAATAGTAACTTTATTTAATACGAGATACTCGAAAAACGTTTAAAATTAGTAAAAACGACTTATGGTACATAACAATATTTTACAATAAATTTTAAGAAGTATTTTTTCACTGGTGTCCGGCATATGATAATATTGCGATTTGCGTAATTATATAAGACCGGAATAACACGTAATATAGTTAATAACTTTAGTTGCGCTGAATAATAAACAACTCGATATCAATCTGGTTTATTTACTCATTCTCTATAACAAAACATTATGTAAAATGTACATTCATTTGAAAAAAATATACATACTTTTACTATAAAGTTGCCGCCACCCGGCCTTGCCCAGAGAAGGAGAATAAAAATAATTTTTTTTAGAACGATTTTTCCAGGATCACATTCACGGCGCCACATGCGGACTGTTGTTATTAAGTACTAATGTTTGTTATTTTTAATGACTTACATTTTTTAGATTCAAAGCGAAGTGAGGAATGTATTGGTTTTACAATGATGTTTATTTTTTTTTTATGTGAACACTTTTTCAACCAGAAAGCCGATTTCGATTATTAAGTATAGCACATTTTTCGAAAGGAAATTTTCTCTAGCTAATATTTTAAGCAGGTAATTTTTTTCAAATTCTCATTAATATTCATGATAATGAATTAAACCTAGATTTTAGGTTAAAAAAATATTGAATAATATTGAATTAATATTTTACTACGTAAAGTCATACCAGTTAAATATGAAACATTATACTGTGATTTGATATCTATTATAATATTATATTATAAACTAAATTATATACTATTGTTGATACATAATACACTACCAAATGTTTTAAACTGTATTTTAATTTATTAATTTTCTTAGTTTAATAATTAAAATTTTTTTTACTTATATAATTTTATAAATTTAATTTTTATTTTAAAAAGAAGACTTATCGCGACCCAAAAAATGCGTTGCGACCGACCGATTGAAGACCACTGCCCTAGAGGACTGTGGGTCGTTGTCATTGGTTGGATTATGGACTGGTTAGGTTAAGTATCATATAATATCTTACACATAAATATAGAGTGATGAGACATATTAGGAGACAATGAGCATTTAAAAAATTGTTAAATTTTGAAATGGATTAGGTTTAGTGAAATGGTGCGTAGGGTTCTTAAAAAGTAATAATCTTTAAAGCCATTAGGCTTTAAAAACTTGTTCATATCAAAAGAAAAGCATGAAGAGTATGGACTTTGTGTATTCTACCATGTAGATAAGTTTTTGAATATTATACGGATCATTGAATCGGTACATAATTCGTTAAACCATAAAATGTAAAAAAAAATAAAAATTGTCATTCTTCAAATTTTTTTTTGAGTTAATACATTTTATTTGTGGACTAATGCACTATAAATATTTAAATAAATTTTAATTCAAATTCAATTCAAATTTTTATATTTTGTAATCACAGCTGTAATAATATTATTGTGGTAGACAGATCCAACTTGCCAACCCGGGCTGATAACACAAAGAGCCGCGAAAGAAAATAGGTAATGGGCTTATATATTATTGTTATATTTTGGAAATTTTATCTATGGTTATCTATCTAATACTATAATAATTATACCAATTATTATGTATTGTTGTCGGTTTTTAATATTTTGTTTTGAATACAACCTTGGATCGACTTTTGTATAATATGTGTGTGTACATAGATACGTATTTGTTACCGGTCTACTGCGTAAAAACAATAATAATACAAATTAATATTATATAGTAATAATCTGATATATACTCGTGTTATTGTATTTACGAAACTGTAACCTCATAATGATTATAGGTAACGTCTGGGGTTTTGATCAAAAATGTATTATAACAGCTGACCTTTGTGGTGGGGGGGAAGGAGGAGGAGGAATCCCCATGATATATGTTCCGGCCGTGAACAATCTTGAAGATAAATGATACTCGTCGATCCGAAGATAATGGCTGTTCTTCGTTTTGCACGCATACAAATATATTGCACAGATACAATAACGATACGGTGATCGATAAAAAATATATCTTATAGGTACGATATCGTTTATAATCTACATGCGCATGTACAAAAAACTATTACATTTTCTTAAACGGAAACACCTGTCTAGATTTTGAAGATCTAAAGTTTATTACACATAAAAAAAAAATAATAATAATAACAAAAATTTTTAATTTTACAAAAAATGTAAAAAACGAGGTCTTAAAAGTAAAATAAATGTTTTTATTGTTTTACGAGTAAAAAACTCCAAGTAAAGACATTGAAAAATTAAACTGATGGTACATAATTATTGCATAATATATTTTAAATATTTTAAAAAACCGAAAAAAAGAACATTGGACGTAATGTTGATAATAGGTTTAAAATGTATGTACTTATTTATTTTGAAAGCCCTGATCTTCCGACAAAAAAAAAAATAATAATGATAAAAAATATAATTTCAATCTAAGACCATCAGACTGAAATATTTCCTGTTACCGTTTGTGTGAACCACGACGATATATTTCTGATCGACAAGTCGATTAAAATTAACCGTTTATTATTCGTCGATTTAATGATGGCAGTATGTAAATACTAAAATACTGTCTCGTTACACGTTTTTTATTGCTAATTAAACAGCGATATTGTTGTTAGGTATAGAAAATACTACTGTATAAAAATATTCTCTGCCGGCGTATTTTTTTTTTTTCGTCGTAACATCGATTCATTTGAATAATACTTGTATATTAGTACCTTTATTAGCGCCGGTTACGGAACAGCAAACATTATTAATTGCATAGCGTTGTGAAATATACCAATTAACCCACAGTATAATATTGTGTTTTATTGAAAACAATAAAACCATTGATTATTTCAGTAGGTAAATAATATTTTCGTTTTATTATAATGGAAGGCGGTGACATTTTCATACAAGATTTCATCAACGACCTTCAAGAATCGCCCGAGAGCCAAGTTCAAAAATGTTTTCGCGATTCCTGTATTTTGATTACCGGTGGAACGGGTTTCATCGGTAAAGTTTTAATCGAAAAATTACTAAGGTATGCGGATGACAGACATTGGTTTACCTAGGACGTAAAATTACAATGTTTTGTTAGATAAATATAATATATTATAAAATTGTTACCCGTATACAGGTCGTGTTACAATTTGAACACTATTTATGTCGTCACAAGACCATTGAACGGTCAAAATCCGAATGAACGGGTCAAGGAAATATTTATTAGTCCGGTAATTAATAAACATAATAATAATTACAATAAAGTCGAGTAAAGGGCACATATGTATATTAGGTACTTTATTAGAATATTCAATTAGGATAGAGTAAGAGCACGTCTCTATGTTATTATACTTACAAATAATAACTCTTTATTTTCAAAATTATATCTCAAATACTTTGTTGGTATATAATAGTAATTATAACAATAATATATTATATAATTAACTTTTTGATTGTGAGCGTAACGATCTTAGTTTTACTATGATAATGTGTGCTTATTTTTTTCCTAATCAAAATACAACTAGAGACATTTTTTATTGTCTTGAGTACCTAACGCAAAATGTTGTTAAAAAATCATACCTACCTCTACTATCCACGATTTAGGTCGAGTTTAACCATTGCAAAAGACATTCATTTTTTTCGTGCGACACACAGTGCCCACATCTTTTATTTCTTCAATTTGTTCTATGAGTGTCTAAACACTATGATTTTTGTTTCCTAGTTATTTGTTTATCCACTAGTAAAAAAGTATTATACAATAGAGTTTACTGGTAAATTATAGCATACTCTCCACTATCTTGCAAGCAAGATAATGCGAATTTGAAGTTATATTTGAAGAATATTTAACTTTTTGAACTGGTTAGCTATTTTATGTCACTGACCGCCATGTATTATATTTACTATATCTATAATAAAGCTATTATATTACTCCTAACCTACTAATTACTAGTCAAATAAAACATTATGTCATTTTTATATTTTTATTGAAATTAGTAATTGTAATTAAATATAATAACATAATTTTGAATTTATTTACGATATTTTTATAATACCATTAATCTGATGCGCACGTCTGACCGGGCGCGCGTGTTTTCCGGTGACTTTGACGCTATAGCTTTTCGATCGGATGAAAGTAGAAAACCCCGGGTACCGGAATCAAGTGCAAGCAATCAGCGGTGATTGCTCGCAGCCAGGTCTGGGATTGCGTGAGGCTGACTTAAAGGTAATCAAATCCAAAATAAACGTCGTGATCCATTTGGCGTCGACCGCGGTTAGCAGTTTCCACGAATTTTCTGGGTTTCGGTCTGCCGTCTGTACCAACGTCCGAGCAACCAGAGACTTAATCGCACTCTCAAAGCGTTTTCAAAATCTCAAGGTACCTATGTACAATATAGTTATCATTAACTTAATGGTGCTCTTTTTCGTGGGGATCAATATTGTGCATCAGGGACCAACATAGACCGTTTGCCCTTGCAAAACATTATTATTAATATTTGGATTTATTTGATTCTTCCAGCTATCTCTATATCTATCGTCGAACTCGTCTAATTTGGTCGACCCTTTAAAGCTTATTACCACGGTTTCTTCCATATCCGGTTATACTTAAACATTGTCCGCATTGTATTGGGTTTTGGCTTCTCAATGACGCATATCAATAAACTCATCGCAGTCTTTCGATGATCTTTAAAATATCATGCCCCCCGAACATTAGCTCTCTGTTTTCCCTCCGTATCCACTCTGCAATTATGTAACACTTTATTGGTCTCTTATATAAAAAATCTTCCAAATCGTCCGTTCTCTTATATAAAGTCGATTTTTTCATTAACAGTAAATAATATGTTTTTTTCTTTTCCGCATAGGCATTTGTGCATGTGTCGTCCGTGTTTATCAATCCTTCAGTTTTAGATGTACACGAACAGTTTTACGATTCGTCGATACCCCCTGCCACTCCTATATACATGGCTGAAACACTTCCTGATCACGTCTTGGACAAAGTAGCTCAGGGGCAAGTTGAACATATAATTTGCTCATTATGAATACGTTTATATTACAAAACCAATGCTCGAATTGAAGAAAAAGTTCTGAACGGACGCCCATGGTTTTATAGGTTAGAAACCATCGTTTCATAATATGTGGATAAATTAAGACGATTTACTTAAATTGTATAATTAATTTTACAAAAACAAAATTATAAAATGCAAATTCATTTATTAAAACGACTCTGATTTCAAGTATTAACTGAGGTAAATTATCCAGAAATTGTATTAAGTACGTGGGTGAATGGTTGATAATCAGTGGTTCTTCGTCTATGTTTTTTTTTAAGTCGTCTGTTACAATGAAGTTTTATTGAAAAATTTTTGTTTGGGAGTTTTGGTTACATCTCACAATCGAAAATTAGGAGGGTAGGTGGTATGCCGTCGTTTATTATGAAAACAATATTTAAATATTACAAAAGTTGTGAAATAAATAATTGTGATATTAGTTTTTATTTGTACATACATAAAACAAATGTTTAGTTTTAATTTTGGATAACAATTTCGAGCACTTTTGCCGTTTACAACCGAATGCATCGTAACTAGTAATCGTAATAATTTTGTCATTTATTTTCTTTTTTCTTTTCAGACTCATATCTGGATGGCCGGACGTGGTCACTTTTACTAAAGCTATGTCTGAACAGATTATCCAGTCGGCCGGACGAGATTTACCTGTATGCGTTGTGAGGCCCGGGTTCGGTAATATTACTAATATACCTCTATGGTTAATTTTTCAATCTTTTTTTACAATTGTGCGTGTAATAACTGTGTACTTTGGAGGCGACCGGAGATTTTGGAACATAATTTCTAATTCTCCGACGACGAGCAACTGAATGAAGCTTATTTTTTAATGGAATTCACTTTTGACCATCCACAATCGTCCACGTAACCAAAATATTTTATTTTATTTTCAACAATACGGACTGAACTCAATTACATAGAATTAACGATAACGTATTAAAACATATAAAGTATAAAAACAAAAAATACAAATATGTAACAAAATACTAAAAAGATGATCGCTAATTATCGTACGCATCATTTTAAAGATTGGCTGTTTCTTAACATAATTGACGTTGCACTTATAGGTACAAAAAAGAAAGGCAAGATAATGGGGACGGGTGCAGCCATTGATGTAGATGGGAAGTTGGGAAGGTAGAATATAGACGGGAATTTAATGCATATCTGTAAGCAATGATAAACTATTGCTTACGAAAAAACGATTTTGAGTGAAGTTCAATTGATAGTGATACTTTGTCAACAATATATACGCCATTTTATAGTAAAATAATTAAATGAGCTTTATATATTTTCTTTGATAAAATTTGTTTAATGTTTTATTGATTTTCTTAATTTACCTACATTTCTTATATTTTCCCATTTTTTTTTTTTTGGTTTTTCAATTTTGATGAGAAAACTCTTGAGAAAATCAAAACTATAACCTCTTTAAAGTACCTAGTGAAAATTTCTTTGAGAAATATTATTATCATTAAAAGTTGAAGTGAAATTGCTGGCATAAAAGTTGCTCACAGAAAAAAAAAATGAATAAACATCTTTATAAAACCATAAACTTCTTCGTTCTGCTTAGATTCTAAAATGGATATATGTATGTTATGAACAGAAGTTAATGGTACTTTAAAGTTAATCACAGATAGATATTAAAATATTATTACTAGTATGTAACAGTACTGTGGATATTAAAACAAATAAAATAAATATAGGAATTATATAATTAATATAACATGATGATGATTATGACAAATAAGGCGGGAATATTATTAAGTTCTTTTTTATATTAAACTGTGACTCGTTCAATGACTCATGAATTGTTATTATCATTCAACGTATACTTAAGGTAGTTAAATTAAAATCAAAGTCAAGGATAAAAGAATAATTATTGTAGGGAATGACGTATTCAATCAAGGTCCGCGTTTTTAGTTTTAGGTACTGCTCATGAACCCATAGCGGGTTGGACGAACCATTTAAACAATTTAACAGGATGTGCGCTTGGTTCCGGGCTAGGCCTGGTGCGGATTTATCACGGACCTAGCTCCGTGAACGCCGAAATCGTACCCGTCGACATGCTGGTCAATCTAATTCTTGTCGCCTGTTGGGATTTGATCGGAAACAGGTGTGCGATCGCCATGTAAAATATCTATACGTATATATAGTTGAATTATATTATTTTACAATGTATAATTTGACCAATATACGAATATTGTATATTAAATAAATATCTGAGCATTTTTTGTAGGTATAAAAAAAAAATTTTTTTTTGTTATAAAAAGTCTGATATGTTCGTATCGAACTAATAATCTGCACGAAATAGTGAAAACTATACAATTGTTGCTATTTTCTTAAATTAGGAAGTAATTAATATTTACTTATAATAAGAATTTGTATGCACACACTGTGGTTGAAATCCTAGATAGTTAATTGTTACTGAATTCAGTCGGAGACATTTTCGCATAGTTTTAGAGTACTCGGTATTTTTGTAGTTCTCCAGGAGGCTAATTTATAACAAATTGTACAAAAAACGTTTTCGATAATGAAGAGATCTGTGTGAAAATATCATAACTACTTTATTCGTCAAAGTTCTTTTTTAGCATTATCAGAAAAGAAAAAACTATGCGTAAATCTGTGCTGCGTATAATTCAAATAGTCGTATAGGAAATATAACGTATTTGAAGTTTTGTGGATTTTCTCCGTCGGTAAATAACATAGCTCCGGAGCTATGTGGTCTTATGCTGTCTACTCTGAATTTAATAATTCAATAATAATATGTTTTATGTACTATCAATATTATTTTCAATCCTTATACATACTGTTTTTGATAAAATATGTATTTTCAAATATAAAAAAAAAGAGATGGACATTCTTAGCACAATGGGTGGGCTACTGTTGTAGGCTTGATAAGTTGAGTTAAGTTGGGAACGTAGGATATAGAGGGTAATTTAATGTATTTTTGTGATGATTAATTATCATAACGAAAAACGATTCTGAGCGAAATTTGGTTGTACATGTTTTGAAAGGCCGTAATATTTACGATTTTCGTCAACATTTGATATTAAAATTCTTACAAAAAAAAAAAAAAAATTACATAATTAAACTCGACTTTTACAACTTATAATGAACCTCCTAACGTGTTCACATTTTGAACGAGTTATTACTATTCGAATATACTTAATAATATTATTAAATGATTGATGTGAGTTATTATGTGTGCGCTCTACAGGACGGACGTTATTAACGAGGAAGTACCAAGAAATATGGTGAACACAATGATTTACAACTACGTTTCGTCCAATTACAAGCCGTGCACTTGGAATCAGCTGGGTGAAAAATTTTTCAAAAACGAAAAAAACGTTTCATCGCCAAACTCGGTATAATATAAAATATATGCTAAATCTTTATGTTTATGGATTTTCAACCACATCATTATTATCTATCTTATTATTATGTTTTCAGTTTTGGGTGCCATTTTATTATGTCACTGGTAACCTGTTTTTATACAGGATAATTTCGTTTTGTTTGCACACCATTCCGGGTAATATCGTGGATTATTTTTACATTCGGTTTCTAGGTAAAGAACCCAGGCAAGTTAAAAATACGATTTTTTTTTAGCAGCGCTAAAGGTATGCCAGCATCCACAGGTTGGAAAATATAGAGTGTCCTACAGTGCTTTCCTTATGCTAATAACTCTGTCAGTGTTCATTTTATTTTCAATCGGGTTTTGTACAAGGGTGGCACACATATCTAGAGGCACATTTTGTTTTTGTTTTCTACCCTTAATTATTAAAAAAAAATAACTTTATTTTATCTCTTTTCATAGTTTTCAAAATATCATACATTCATATCCGTTCAATAGTTTCTTGGGTGTAGCCGTTTTAATTTCTACACAATTGGTGTGAAAATAATTAATATTCAGTAGCAGATAAGGAATCACCGTGCTGATAGTGATTCCTTATTGTGTAACGTGTTATTAAAAATTGAAAATTAACTGTTTTTTTTAGAAATTAAAACGGCTATTCCTAAGAAATTATTGTTCGGATATAAATGTGTGACATTAAAATTTTTCGAATAAAAATTTTTATAAAATAGCCATTTTGAAAATTATATGAAATATGGTAGGTTAAATAAAATGTTTTTTTTTTTTTTTTTTTTTACATAATAAAGGGATGAAAATACAAATTTAATTTTTCTCTATATACGTGTCCCTTCGCACAAAACCCGATTGAAAAAAAATTAATATTGATAGAATCATCAGCTTAAGGCCAATACTGTAAAGTGTAGGACTCCTTGTATATACTCAAAAACCAATATCGAAATTTGTTGCATAATTTATACAAATGTATGTAATCGGCAATTACATTCCCGGAATTTGTTCACTCTTTAAACGTAAGTTAAGTGATTTTCAATCTTTATTGATCCATGTCATCCTTATCGATTATAATCCAATATTGAGTCATTCTACCAATGCATAATCCATTGAAATTATAGGATATTCAAGGAGTGGTATCATCGTTGAAAAGTGAGTGATGAGGAGGGCGTTGTTCGGACGGTGTTAGTGGTTACATGACAACGAAGGAAGGCAATAATACGATTTTAATCTAAAAAATTGAATATTGTCTTGTTTTTTCCTTTTCCCCATTTATTTCGTGTCACCACTGCACTGCGTCCATGTCACCCTAGCTGAGAACCACTGGTGGTATTACGATTGTTTTGTTATTGGGAATAAAATTTAGTGTTTAGTATTAATTTCTTTTTAACAGTCCAATCGTAATGAAATTATGTGCATTTTGAAAATAGATTTGAACTCAAGTTAAAACAGACTAGTTAGCATTATTTACACGCCGCGCGCCATACTGGCACACCAATGATACTCCACTTCTCTCCTCCAACTCAAACTTAAAAGTGGAATATCTCGTCAATAGATCGAAGGAAATAAAAAACGTCAACACTCAAATTAATTTTAACTAATACTCCATCTATTTATGTAATTTTGTATGTAGGTTGCCATTTGAAAATTAAAATTAGGTTTTGGTTTTACATTTAAAAACAAAGGTGACAAAAAATAACATAAATATAAAATTTTAGAACAACTTGTTTCTTAAATTTTCTAGAAAACAAATTTCGGAAATAGTTAATATTTTCCCATATAATGAGTGTATCCACTTAAATGGATCACCTGGTATATTTTCTAACCGGTGAATACTATATAACACAGCTACATTTTTAATGCTGCCGTTTTTAAACAAACAATAGGTCTAGTTAGGTATAGGTACCTACATGCGTGTAATATTTTGTATTTTTTTTTTTTTAGATTAAATGAGTTTTATAAGCGAGTTCACGTGGCATCCAATCATTTGAATTCATATCAACAGATGCGTGCAAAATACTATAACTGCAACGTCAATAATTTAATGAATAAATTGTCGGCGAGGGACCGCATTATGTTCGGGTTTGACATGAGTTCACTGTCTTGGGACGATTATTTCGACAAGTATCTTAGAGGACTCCGGGTGTATTTGATGGGCAACCGTTTGCACATGTCAGGAACAAACAATAATAAAACGCTCAATAGGTATGTCACGTTCATAAATAGATATAAGTATGAAATTGATAACATTTGGCAGATATTTAATATTTAACTTTCATTTATCAGCGTTTCTTGATCTTTTTATAAACATAGAATGATTTTTTTTTTATCATGAACTGGCAAATATCTTTGAGAATTTTAAATGTATTTGGTTTCTGTTTTTTTTTCAATCTTTTTGGGATCGGTTAAGCTTTATTTCAAAACCATTTACATATTACTAACTATTAGTACCCAAAGTACCTCTCTAGTACGATTTCCTTTCAGAAAAGGTACTATCATTGAACGGGGTTCTTATTTGAAAATCAGTTGTATTATAATAATATTATATAATATGTAAGGTATATGTATTAGGGGGAAAAAATTAAAGCTTAAAATATTAAAATAAAGCTTAATTGATTCAATAATTATTAAAGAAAAAAGAAATCAAATTCACTCAAAATCCTCTGAAAAAATGTCTGGTTTACGATAAAAAATCACTCTGTATACTCATTTCCGATTTCATAAAACTAACTCAGTTTTAAAACTTAACCTCTCTTTCACAATTTTCCATGAAGCTATTTTTATTATTATTATTTTTTAACCATTATCTACGTATGAAGTAGGTATACCTACCATAACTCTATTGGTTTTTTTTAAAAATGTTTTATTTAATTCATATGAATCGTTTGCCCCCTGCTACTTTTTTCATTTTTTAGAAAGGTACCAAAGAGATTTTCTGGAATAGTATAACTATAACAATAACAATAACTATTACAATAACCCTATTGCCAGATGTTGAAAAAAAAAGAAAATCGATATCAGGAACCAAATACAAATATTTAATACCTTAACTTCCTCCTTTGTTTTATTTGTTATTTATTATAATTTATTAACATACAGGAATAATAAATAATACAATAATGTTTTCCATCTGACTACACTTATGAACAATAGAGGTGGTCAGTGATGATACATAGATATAGATAATATAAGTACTATATATATAGCTATTATCTGTGTACTCACTTGAAGTCACCAACGACCATCACGTTAGGTTAGGTAAAAATGGTTATATCTGTCGTTTTACCAATGTTACCGCGGTGATTAAGACTGTGCTTGTTTCTAATATTAAACAGATATAAGTTACAGTTATCATAATACAAAAGTGCATGATATCAAATAATCGTTATCAAATTTTTGAACTAAATGGCGGTTTATTATAGTATAATATATATATATATATATCAGTCGTGATCTGGTATTATAATATGAATCGTAAAATAATTATTGTCATATTATCATATTACAGTTAATATCAAATATAATTGACCGATGGACCTATTCAAGTGTTTTTGGAAACTAAAATATTTAGATTGTTAATAAAATAATAAAAAAAAAATTATTAAAATGGTTAATACTCGTAAATAAATAAAGTAAATAAATATACAAATAAAAAATGTATGTATAAAATAAAAATAATTAATTATCGATTGAATAATCAATGCGTTGCTTGGAATATTATGATAAGTGTATTATACGACCGGTTTCGAATTAAAAATTCATCATCAGGTATATCACAGTCAAAATGTAAAACGCGATAGAATATAAAAAATCAAATGAAAAAATGCATGGAAAAAAAAAATTACAAATTGGTCGTTTTAAATAGAATATAGAAATAATTTATTTTAATAGGAGAGATTATTTAAAATTAATTATTATTAGACATAGCACATATATAAGAAATATAAAATATTTGTATATTATTTATTATCTAAAATGTATTGATATAAGAAATTATTTTAAAAATCGTTTTGAACATTTAAAATATTATTAAAATTATTTGTCTTTATTTCATTGTGTATGTGTAATTCTTCTAATACTTAATCAATGTAAATGTTATTTTGGGTACTTAATATTTATTAGTCTGTATTAATATAAAAACTTGTATTATGGTTGTTTTTTAAAAAATTTTTGGAAAATTTGAATTACGGGCAGTCTTTTTTAATTTATATTTCCGAAATGAAAATATATATGTATCTTTTACCTTATTTTAATATTTCTATTTGTTTTATTTATATAAAATTTATTTAGTTACATTTAAGTTTATATATACCAGCGTTTTTAAAAGAATGGGGATTTTCGTGTAGTTTTCAGTTCTATTGTTTATATGTTGGATTAAATTATTATTAGTCTTAAAAACGATTTTTATATTATTTGTATTATTGTTCAGAATTACAGATTTCACACTTTAAAAATCACAGCCGACAAAAATGACTACATAAAAAAAATGAGAAATAGCGTAGGGTAGGGTAAATGATAAAATTAATATTTTAGTAGCACAAAATGCACAGAAATTACAATTTAAAAACCAGAATTATTTTCAACCACGAGTTACTAATTTAACTTCCATAATTTTCAATGAAGCTGAAAATAACAAATAACAATTTATTAAATAAAAGTAAGAAATTTAATAAATATCAAACATTACACTTTAACTCAATTAAAAAACAATTAATAAAATGTTAATCTGTTATAAATTATATACAATTTAAAAATCAAAATGAAGACATACATATCTTTCATTTAATTTTTATATTCAATCCCGTTTTAAATTTTGACTGTGATATACCTGATGAATTTTTAATTCAAAACCGTTCGTATAATAATATAATACACTTATTATTGTACTTCAGGTGACGTATTGATTCATTTTATTTTTACACATACATTTTTTATTTATGTATTTATTTACTTTATTTATCTTGTGTTGGATTACATTAAAAATAATGCGAACCTTATCTGGAGGGCTGTAACAGCTACAACAATTTTAGAAATAGACATAGGATTGAAATCTATTACCTACATTTGTAAAAATATAACTTATTAATAAATAAAATAAGAAATTTGTATTTAATTAAGTATAATATTAAATGCATGTTATAAATTTATAATACAAAGTCTAACCTCCGGTTTTTCATAGAAAAGAAACTTTCAATGATATCATCCACTGGTATACCTAATTCCTGGTAAATACAAATCAGTGAAAGTCCACATATAAGTAATCACACATTTATTTGTGTAACTGGAAATCAGTGATAAGAGACAATGGTTGAACTACCAAAACGAAATGATAACATCAGAAGTTTTGACCCGGTTCGACCATAGATAACAAAAATATTTTAATATCTATGGATTTAAACGTTTTATTATATTATTAATTATTTCACGAAAAAGGAAAATTCAAAATAATTCTAATAATAAAATATTAAACTGTTGAGTTTTGTAATGTATTTTATAATTTTGTTTGTATTTGGGAAGGCATAATAATCAATCGTCACATCAATCGACACTATCGTTTTTGTACACTGAAGTAGCTAAAATTGCACTACTATATACGATTTTTGTTATACAATTACACTGGTAATAATAGCAAGTGTTGTATAGGTCAATGAAGCATGTATTAGGCAAAAAATGTTCACCAGTGTTTACGAGTGCAGTCAGATGGAAAATACTATAATATAGACGCGTAATAGTCGCAGGATTTCTTCATGAAAAAGTGGGTTACGAAAAAAGAATATTGAAAAAATAAATCAATTACCTATCAGTAAAATCAGATTATTTCAAAAATACAAATTGTAACTTTTCGATCACATATACTTTATAAGTCATGCAAAAGTAAACTTGCTTTTAATTCACAAAACATTCTACCTAGATTAAAAAAAAAAGGTAATGGGAGAGGTTTGAGCCCCTTCTCTTCTTACGTATAGACCTAAATAGACGTGTAATTTTTGTTTCAGATTGATAACGATACATTACAATTTGATAATATCTATATGTTTCATTATTATCGTGTACACGTTATTTTTTTATTTGTAAACGAAATGGAACACTGTACGAAAAGACGAAATTATTATGAATTATTAAATTCATAATTTTAATTATATTTTAAAAAGGCTACATCTATAAAATAATGTAGAGTTGTAGGTATTAAATAATAAAAAAACTAGTGTTGTTGTTACGGGGAGACCCTGAGTCTCATTCAGAACGATTGTCATGTAGTTTTTTTTTTTTATTTTAAATTTATACAGTCTAATGTTTACTTGTAAAAATAAATGTGAACTACGTGGAGCAGGTTTTAAGCATAATAATGTATAATTTTATTTTTATTTTGGTATGAAAATAATAACAAAAAAAAAAATTATTATTTTTTCATAATCAACCAGAGTTCACGTGTTCATTTTTTTAAGAACATAAGTACCTATTTTGTTTTCTTGTTTTTTCGTTTCCAGTTATTGTCATGGCTATCGTTGATATTATTTACTTTTTATGATCAAAAATAATATTTGTATAGACCACTGAGTTATAAGCGGGTAAGCAAGATGGTAGAATATATTATATAAAGTAATTCAGTTTATATATTCTCCGAAATCATTGCAATCGAAAAACAATTGTGATTGGATTAATATTATTCATCTGTTACCTTAACCTTAACAAGGTAACCCAGAAATCCATATAAACTAAAAAACTGAAAAATGGACCATGGTTGGTAAAAAAATAAAAAAAATATTGGTAATTAATTGCAAAATGTATGAAATAAAGTACATACAATTTTTGTGATTTTATAAAACTGGCAGAGTATGTAGTTATGAGATTTTTTTTTTTACCAAGTTATAACACTATAAACATTAACAACTTCATATATTTTGCGATTAGTCGATGAAATTCTATAGCTTTCCTTTTAGTGTGCAGCATTGTAGTATAAAATAAATAATTTTTTTTAAAATTATGTTTCGTAAAATTCGCAACAATATTATTATGCATAGACATATTGGTGATCAAATAGGTTTCAGATTTGAAAGCCATATAAATAATAATAGGAAAGCATTTGTAATAGAAGACGATAAAAAGCATTAATAAACTAATACTTAACCCATTTTTTAACCTTAGCTGTGGACCTAGTTATAAAGAGATTTCGTTATAAAATATTATAGAGTATATTTTACAGTCCTAACTTATATCTATAGTTGCAAAAGCAGATATTAATGAAACTTCCACCCCCTAGAATATTTTTAAGTCATGGAATGTTGTGTTCTTGTCACAACCACTCCTTAAGTAATTTACCAAATTTATTAAATAATTCGTAAAAATGTATTTTATAAAATTCACGGTTTTTTAAAAAAAATTTTTTAATCAACAGTGATGGTAAATAACTTGATTATTGATATTAAAATTTAAAAATATTATGCGTATAACCTATACATAATATTTACTACATGATATAGCTAGGAAAAGGTTAGCAGTAGGTTGAATCATAAAACGCGAATAATTATGCTAATATATTAGGCAGGGTAAAATTGGTAAAAATACGAAGTTTCCTCCTACAGATATGATCTGCTAAATCTTGCTAAACATTTTGATTTCTGGAATTATATAGACAACCCAAGGTATGGGAACCTCCCATAATATAGACTATGAGTTTATCTCTCTTTGAAGTCTATACCTAAGTTTAGTAGAAATGATGGTAGGTAATTTAGAAATGTATGTCGTTAGCGATATACTTAGGTTGTTTTTCCATCGCGATAGATAATCATAGTGTGTTAGGCAGTAGTTTTCGATTTCGATATGACTACACCTGTTGTGATATCCTCGTGACGTGTATAAATTATACATTTAAACTGATGTTGTTTAAGTAAAATATATTGACGTCAAAACAGAATAAACTAAAAAATTCCCAAACTATATTATACAATACAGCGATTTTCTATGTTAATTTATCTGTAAACATGTTGCTGTTTGGCAGACTGGAAACCCGATAGCGACACGTCCTGCAATATTTTTGTCGATAAATAATATTATATAAATATAGATAACTACTGTAAATCATCAGCAGCGTTGTAATAAAATTATTTGATGCAATAATATTAGGTGTAATGTGTAAGAGTTGAGTTTATATAATTGAAGAAATGTATACTGTGTCTCTAGAATAGCTTAAGTCAATAAAGTTCTGTTAGAAAAATTCCAAGTAACTATAAAAGAAATCATGGTCCAGAGACAGACAAACTTAGGCAGGGAATTTATTTTCCTCAGGCCACATTACTCTATTACTTACAAGGCCATAATATTAAATATTATTTGGAAATTATTTCAGGAAGGGAAGGGTCCAATATTTTTTTTAATAAATTTAATGACCTTTCTGAAAAAAAAACATACATTGATTTAGCGTAAAGTTTACATGAGATCAGTTAAATTTTATGTCAGTTCTTTATTCTAATATATTCAATTTGAAAAATTTGTAAACGTAAAAAAACAAAATTAAAACTCAGGACGATCTTATCGTGTATGCATTTCACGTTGAAGTCTATTTCCAGAATTTGTATCACTTCACTACATCGATTGGATTAATTGAAAGAAAATTGCTATACTGTGCATATGTTAGGCAAAGAATAAGATATTGGTATCCAATACGACAAAAATAAATATTAACAATCAGTGGCGAATACTAACTCCGAATAACTTTTTTTTATTTCATCCGTATCATCAAAGTAACAAATAAATCAACAAAAATAATTATTATTTCACAAAAAATTTCAATAGCCCCGTGTGAGACCCCTCCTCCCCCTTAGGGGAATTACTCGTGTATTATATACGTATATAAATCTTCCGAGAAAAATTCTCTAAATAATAGTGAGAACCCTATCAAAATCGGTTGCGTAGATTAGAAGATAAGCGGATAGACAGTCATGGTGACTTAATTTTATGTAATAATTATCCCAACAAAAACCCTCCGTCAACTATGTGTAAAACCCTCGTCAAGAAAAAAAGAACTAAAGTTATAAAATTTGTGATATCAAAAAGGGGCTAAGTAATTTCTTAAATTCATTAGTATAGAAATAGTTTATAATTGTTTGTATTTGATGAAGTGCGATAATTTAATACAAATAATTTAACTTAGCTCGGTGGCTGCTATAATATTTACGACTACAAATAAAGATACAATGTTGACACGAATATTTACATCCCCATTTTATAATTTATTAATATTACCATAACAATATTAAGTACATACTATGAGTAGTACTCCTAATTATCTAGGTGAATAGAATAATATAAACAATATAAACAATATAAATAGTAATTTTAAACATTGACTTTACGGTTAAACAGTATAGCCAGACAAGTCACAATAAGGAGAAACAATTTTATTTTATTTACCGGCTCAATATTTAAATCAATCACGCAAAAGTTGCACGGTGCACACTCTCGAAAAATCAGCTAGCTAAATAATACTAGAAAAAATTTAAATACTGGGCGGGACATACTCCACGCTGTTGGCTACTGTAGGGCACGGTTGTTAACAAAATTAATTTCTGACGTCGCCGATTGTATTTTAAAAATATTATTTTGGTTTTAATCCAAATTCTAGCTTATCTACAGTACAGGTTATAGTCTACACTTTACAATGTACATTTTATCTGGACTCATCAGTTACCCGTACGATTACGTCGATTACGTTTATTGCGATATTTTGTGTTTTACTCATTACACATTTTGTTCCGTGCGAGTTAATAAATTAAAATGAATAATTCTGAAACTCGAATTATTGTAACAGAGAAAAATAAAGAATTAGCTGTTGTAAATGGTTATAAACATAGATTTGTCGGTGTTCGTAAATACAATCAACTTTGAAAATGGCGCTGCTCTTTTGACAAAAATCGCACCGCATTTATTTGATAATTTTTGAATCATTTTAATTATTTATTATAATGGTAAAATTTAAATACATTTTTTAAACAATTTAATTTTTATTACTTGTTTTATTTTTTATTTATTTAAATTATCATATATATTTTTTATCATAAATGATAACGTCGCAACAATTTTTATGCGGAATTGGGTAGGTGAAAAGGTATATTGTGCGGAATCGTGTGTCGCCCATTATAATATATAGTTTGAATACCTACTATATAAGTAATGATAAATTATTGGAAATAAAAACTCGTTTAACTTGTCTTCGTGACAAAAGTAATTTTTTCTGCAGTGTACCGAAAGGAATCTAGAAATAAAAAAAAAACAATAATAATAAAATGAAAAATGTGAGCCAACACAATATTATACGGAAAGGTACAAATATTGCGATTTAAATATCTGGATTCGAAATGTAGTCACGCCTAATACGCAGGACGTATGGACTATAGATACAAAACATCATATCTCTGTTATCTGTTCGAAAACCAGCGTAGCAGTGTATATTTGTTTAAATTTTTATCAAAAAAACTGGACCTCTGGGAAAAATTGCTCAAATAGTAAGTAGATACCATCGTAGCTGGAAAATCTGCATCTTTTTTAGAATATATTGTGAAAGTTTGGGAGGACTTTTACATGCCGAGATGGTTTTTTTTTAAAAATATTATGTTCAATATATACGGATTGTTTATGTACACAGGTTAGGTATTTTACTGATGTATTAGTTACCAGATCTGCAAGGGTATTTTCAGAAGATTAGCTCAGTGGGTGTAAAATAATTTTGACCTCAAAGGTCAGAGTCCGTATTCAATATTTTTATATATCACGAACATTGAACAATGACTGTTGAACATGATCAAAATAATAAAATTATTTTATCGTTATTATTATCCTGTGTTTGTCGAATTATTTTGATATAGAACGTTGACAGACGAAAAAATTAATAGGTATAAACTATAATATCATTAGTTGTACCTAAGTTGGTTTTAGAATATTTTTTGCTCATCGGAAAAAAAATCTCAGTGTTAGGTACCTGCTTGCTTAACAATAATTGTTAAAATCGCAAAACAACTTGATATGATTATTTATTAAAAAAATTATCAATTTTTTTTGTTGCCTAAAGTGCAGAGAATCGCCGACGCGGTCTAGGATATTTATTCATAATTTTTTGTTATATTCAATTCTATTATAAATAACTTCGTAGTCACAGAAATGAATGGACGTATAAAAATACTCTATTCGGATAATTATATTTTCATCCAAAAAGAGACGTATTCTAACGTATTTCTAGATGTATTCGTTGAGGAACTTAGATTAACCGTTAGGTCATCTTGTTTTACGAGGTAAACTAATGTACTATAAATTATAATGTTAAAATTGTAATTTTTAATTTATTTATAATGATAATAGTTTGATAATAACATACATATTTAATATAAAGTTGAAATAGTTAAGTGCTTATATTATGTTGTATTATATTATAAGAAGTGTTCTCGCATAAGCAAATATGTATTATAACAATTAGTATTTGTTTTTGACAGTGATTATAAATTTTTAAATATTTCAATACGTTCATTTAGTTTTGAGCCCACTGTGCATGATATTAATATGGCTGATATTCAGCCAGATACAAATGAACCAAATTTGCGAGTACAATTAGAAGGTCATTCAAAAATGAATGTAAACGATTGGTGTTTATGTAATAAATTTATAAGGCTAAATACAAACCAAGAGTGTATATGTTGTTTTCAGTTGGAAAAATTATATAAATTACTACCACGTAGCAACGAAAAATCTGTATAATGGAAATAAGCTTATTTTAAAAAATTATTTTATATAAAGAAGTAAGTCATATCGATTAGGTACCTACATACATAATACAAACACAGTCAATTCAGTTTTTTAATTAAGTCAAATAACAAAAAATATCAATAAATAACCTAGACCACCGCCTAGGACCATGGTCCTTTAAGAAAATTCAGAGATAAATGATGTTTTATTCAAAATAATAAGGAAATAGTGTTCTGTGATACGAAATTCAAATAAATATTGTACAACAAAATACTGTTCATAACTTCAACTCAGTTGACTACTTAATTAGCACTAAGAAATAATAATAATTACTTGTGTCTAGGTAGTATTTAAATTAGGATAAATTATTAATATTATACGATTATAAAGGTATAGAAAACGAGAGGGAATAGCGAAGAGGTCGGACGGCGTTCTTTGGTTTTTTAATCAAGTATTTTCAATGTCATTTTTGGTGTATTTATTTCGTGGTTTTATTGAACTAGTGATACAATAGCAGTGCGGTTATTCAAAAAAAACAATCAAACAATATTTTGCCTACGTAAAGAATGTCTTAGTACCGATCTTAGCCCCTCAGCCTAGTTTGCTTCTGAGATGGAAGTCAACTTCGAAATTTGGGCCCAAATCTTATCATTATTCAAAACAAGGCATAAAATTCGACATTGGACGATTAACAATAATGAAGAATTTAATATAGTCATTTTGTTTTCATCGTAGTAGTAGTATAGTATAGAAACTGTATTCATGTCGATAACATAGTAAATACATTCATATAAGCCAAAACATAATAAGATGTAATAATATTGAATTTTTAAGACTACTAATTAAATATTTCTAAAATTCATTGTTTAAACGGATATAATTATTAAAATAAAAACATAGTATTACAAAGGGATTCCTAAACAAATGAGCCAGGTGCGATAGCATCCCTTGATTACTCTTAATTACATAATTAGTGGGTAGGTATAGTCAATACCATTTACGAAGGTGTGCTTACGATACCTGGACGGATTTAATCTTCATGTAGTTTTCAATCGTTTGATTAAATTACTGCAGTTCGCCATGATTACTTTTCATGTCTCAGGATTTTTCCTATTGTAAATAACATACCTATTGCATGACTTTTATAATTAGTTTGAATTACTTCATCGATGGTGTTCCTCATACGATATTACCTTATTTGTGACCTTTCAAAGCGTATGTAATATGTATATTGAATTTAAAAAATAGCAAATCCGCATTATATTTACAAATTATTCTTGTAAAATAATTAGATATGTGTAAGGTTAACACACTGTAATGTATAACAATAAAAATCCGAATAAATGAATAATTCATAATACCTAATAACCAAGGAATAATTTTTGAGCATACCAGTTTTTCTGTTGTAAAGTTAAATTATAGAATATATTCCTAATATTTGTATGAAGTTGATAACGGTAATTCAATAACATTATTCGTTAGGATAATTTTATATTTTTCGTTTTATTCTCTACTTAGTTTATTATACTGGTACATATTGCAATTTGTAGTTAATCGAAATTTGAAACGAACAACTTTGGAGTGCGCGTAATACCGATAACTTCTTTGAA